CTTGAAATTTAGGTAACAATCGGTTATAATTAATGGTTTTTGATGGGCACATGTAAAATGGATCCAAAACCCCTAAAATAGACCAACTAAAACATCTTTTAGGTTCAGGCTCGAGTTTAATATCTCGAACTCAAAGAACAACATGAATTTATAAAGAGTGAACTCGAGTATAACAGTTAGAGGTCAATTCTCTAGAGAGTATTGGCTTGGATAAGAAGCCTGAGCCCATGCATTAGTATGGGTATGATATACCCAGTATCACCGTGGGCTAGGGATTCTATGCCCGAGCCTCACTTACTTAGGCTCGAGAGTGCACCCCAAACCCAACATGCTTGGATTCAAGCAGCGCGCCTAAATCCATTTCTCACATCTAATACGTCAAAGCTCAATGTGTTTTGGGTCCTCACAATGCACCTAAATTCACTTTCACCCTTTGTTGACTTGGATTGTTATACCCAAACCCAACATGTTTAGGTCCAAGTAATGCACCCAAGCTCACTTTTACCTCTCATGAGCTTGGGTTGTCACAATCAAGCTCAACATGTTTGGATCCTGGTAGCATGCCTGAAACTACTTTCTTCTCTTATTGACTCAGGTTATGACATTCGAATCTAGTGTGTTTAGGTCTAGGCAGTGCACTCATACCCACTTTCACCTTTGAAGGGCTTGGACACCTTACTTGAGCCCAACACTCGCCAAAGAATGTTTTTAGAACCCCATGCGAGTCCCTCAATATTTTATATTAATTTAATATATATTATTTTGAGTAAAATACAACTTAAAATATCATAAGAGTAAAATTACATTTTAGACTCTCCTCTTTACAAAAGAACAAGATTCATGGGCTATAAATATATTATGAGACTTTTAGAATAAAGGTTCACAAACTTTATTCTCTACTACATATATATTTTCATAGTATCTCTCTCTATAATATTATTATATTTTCTCTCTATAAAAAAATATTTATTTAAGCATTAGAGAGTCTCTACCTCTACTAAAAGAGATTTTTTGCAAGTACTAGCAATAAACCACCTTAGCCTACCAAGCACCAAATATAAGCTATCAACCTATTGGCTAGAGATAATTAATGTAATTGTTATGACCAATTGATTAACTGATTATTCAATCCGAGAGTCTTATTCCCAGACTACTTGGATTTTTTATGACATTATCAATTTTTTTTTTTGTATATATAGTTACAATTGTATTAAAACCCATTATTGTACACAACCATTCCCGTTTCTAAAGTAGCATTTTGTTACTGTTATGGGACAGAGAGAGAAATGTATCTGGTTAAAGAGAAAAAAAAAAGATATAAAAATAAATTTATTTATAGAATAATTTTAGACTGAATTTTTATACTTTCAAAACAGGAGATATATAAGGAACATGTATCCAAAGACAATATTTTTTATTTTTTATTCCTGAATATCTTTGTAAAAAAACTTTCAATTCCAACATTATTCAACTAAAACATATAAAGATAAAAATAATTATTATCATAATTTTAAAATCCAACTCAAGAATCAATTCGAGGCAAAGCTTGTGTCATGAGTCAGTTAACTTGAGTTGATTCAAGTCAGCGTAAAAATAAAAATTGTTATTTTTATAATTTTAAAATTTATTTTTGGATAGATACGTGGCAATGTCTGGGTCACGAGAAAAGTTGAATGTTAATCCAGGTTAATATAAGGATAAAAGTAGTTATTATCATAGTTTTAAAACTTGACTCAAAGATCAACCTGTCTAATAATATTTATTTTTATATTTTTATATTTTTTTCCACTAAAAATATTTATATTTTTATTATTTTCATCTTTTCTATCCCAAAACAGTAATAAAAAAATATTTAAACAAGTGAAAATCAACATGATACTCATCAGTAAATATATATCAAGAATATTTTTTGGATAACCGTTAGTGTATAGGTCAGCTTACAAGTTTCTTGACTAATTTCTTGAAGCTTTAAAATTAATAATCAGATAAATCTCTAATAATTTTAAAATTTATAATTTTTAAACTAATAATATTTAAAAAATAAATTCCAAACCTTACGAGGTGAAGTATCCCTTATAATTAATTATATAAATCAGGAAATTGATTGGAAGACCGGTGGCAGACGTCATGCCGACAAGTACGTTAAGGGAACTGGTCAAAATCTGCCATGTTCATCACACGATATTTATGTAAGAAATTATAGGGCATCAATTACTAATACAATAATGAAATATTCTACTAACTCCAACTAAATATATATCAGGAAATATAAATAAATAACAATCCATAGAAAATTAACAACGTCGATATACTCCTCCACTCAAAATATAGCACAAAAGAAGAATTATTGGGCACATGTTCTCTCTACTTGTCTATCTAATCCGTTGACTTCACTAATAGATAATGCAATTAATATAAAGGGTTAATGCATGCCTCTCAAAAAAAAAAAAACAATGGGATAAAATGATCTGGAACTTTTCTTTTGAAACACAGCGTTTTAGAGAATTTCTATGTTTTTTAATATTTTCCGGTGCATAACACAAAGTTTTTAGGTCGTATTTATTGCAGCTAGCTTAATAGAGAGAGACGAGGAATTTTGGATGTAAGTTGGCTAAACTTCCTATGTTCAGTTTAGAAGGCTGATGAATATTTGTACTTTATATGCTAAAAAACTTTGGTTGCAACGTAAATAAATAATGAGGGAGGCGGCTGCTTTTTCCCCGCATTTTATCCCTTTTTTTTCTTTTTTCTTTTTTGCATTTCCCCTTTCCTTTTCTTTCTGTAATTTTTTTTAGTTATATTCTTTAATATTTATTTAATTTTAAATTTATTTTTATAAATTATTTAAATTTATTTTTATAAATTATTTAAATTTATTTTTATAAATTATTTAAATTTATTTTTATAAATTATTTAAATTTATTTTCTATAAAATTATTCTAATATAAAATAAATATTTTATTTAAGCTCAAATTTATAAATATTTTTTTGTTATTGTTTAATTAAGTAAAAAAATAGTTTTGTTTAAAAAAACAAAATTCTTAAACCTAGCCAAATCCATTACCTGGATTGCAAATTTATCCAGCTAAATCATGAAACTCGGGTTGATCTAATACATTATTATCTTAAAATTAAAAAATAAAGATCATCTTGATTTTTTTAAAATCAAATTATTTTTTTTTATCTATTACATGGATTATTTTTAAACCCCTATTTAACCAGGTTATGTCAATATACTTTTTATATAATTTAATTATAAATTTAGACTAGAGAAGAAGTGGATAAGAAATAGAGTTGAGGTTTCAAGCTTGAGATGTTGAGCGGAGTTTAATTACAATATTAAATAGCTTTTTGCTTGATTTTTTTTATATATCTTTTTTTTATTTTTTCACTTTATTTGTATTTATTTAAGCCACAGCATGGCACTATCATGAAAACTAGTTCCTATTATACAATTAGGGTCGATAACCTGTCCGTGGCACTACCTTGAAAACCAGTTCCTTTTAAGTCAATTAGGGTCGATAGCCTGTAATCATGCAAAACGTTATATAATAAAAGAAACTAATCGGTGTGACATTTTCTCGATATAACTTTTTACTATGCTCCCTGTCATATTTCACTGTGGTTTGGAGCAGTGAATTTTTTATTTTAAACATTCAAAATTATTATTATATCAACTCTGACAATTAAAATAATTAATTTTAATTTTAAAAAAATTATTTGATAAGAAGAATTCTACTTAAGTGTTAACAAATTATCACTGAATTATGAGTTTGAGAAAATTTTGATTTTGAGTTTTTTTGTGATTTTTGTTTTGATTTTTTAAGATTACTAATGAGTCTATCAAAATATTTATAGTGTTTTGAATAAAAAATAAATTTAAAATTATATTTTTAGATTAAAAAATCATAAGGCTATATTTTTCAAACATTATAATAGCTGGAATCTACACTATTATAGACAGCGTGTTATTTAACTTATTTTTTAAAAAAATTAGGACCACACCCTTAGCTTTTAAAAAAATTAAGGGTCTCCACGTGGGCCCTTTTCAAATGACCCAGACGTAGCAGCCCTTTTTTCTTTTCATTTTTACTTGCATTTCTGTTATAATAAAATATGTTTTTGTAATAATTTTTTAATTTATATTTCAATTAATACTGTTCTATATATTTTTTATTTTGCTTATCTAGCATTTTTTAAATAGTGACTGTTATTTTATTATATATATATATATAATTTTTAAAAAGATTATTCTAAGTCATTTATAAATTTTTTTATATTTTATATATATGAACTTTATTTTTAAAAATAAAAAATATTTATTTTTTTAAATTATTTTTATAATATATAGAGCATTGCATAATAGTTTCTTCTCTTTCATTTTATTCAATTAATTTTATATTTTTATTATCATTTAATAAAATAAAAAATAAATTTTAATAAATAAATTTATCAAAAATAATAGGGTAAAAAACCTTCCTTACAAGATCAAATATATTAATATACTTTTAACTCTCTATTTTTCTAGTTTTGTTTTTTTTTATTATTTTTGCTGAATTTTTTATTTATACATATATAATTCTTAAGTTATTTAATTACATGTATATATAAGTTTTTCAATTTATATTTGAGATTTTTTTATGTAAAAAAACCTGAATATTTAATTATTATTATTATTATTATTCTTTTGTGAAAAAATAACCATAAACAACAAGTTAGACCTACCCCTACCTATAATCCAAAAACAATTTTAAAATGGTAACCACCAAACTAACAAAGAGTAAAATAGAAAAAATAGCCTCAACCGCTGAGGGGGACATCCTATCAGCGTTTTCCATGATCAGGCCATTAAAAAAAAAAGGGCATGGGCTAGGACAGTGCCCTGTCTCAACTAATTTAAGCCATGGACGTGATAACCACTTTCATCTGTCACATAAATTTAGACCTCATTTTATGTTTCTTGTCATGTAACCAAGTCGTATCTGCTCCAGGACAAAACCATGGGGTTGCAAAAGAAGGCAAAAAAGCTCTTGGGCTGCGCCATCTTCATAGAACCCTTCCATATCTTGATCATTACCCTCCTCAGTCTCTTGCTGCCCCTCTCATTTCTCCTCCTGACCAGGCTCTCTAGTTACAACTATCTGCTGACCATCACGTCTGATCCTGTACAACAACAACCATCTTCTTTCATCACATCTTTATTCCTGTCAATCAATACAGCAGTTCTGTACTTTCTTGTTTCAGTTGTTAGCATAGCCACTCTTATTCATGGCTTGACAGGAAAAATCACCCTTCTAAGTGAGTCAACAGGCGCAACTTCCCGACCCGGATTGTACACTGCATGGATTATGTTATGTACGCTACAGATTTGTGTTGGCTTGGGCGTTCAACGGAGCGTATCTGCTGGGATGTTCGATGGTTCTGGTTTTGATATTCAAAGAAGTTTCTTGAGTAGAGTTATATTTTTCTTGGGGTTGCATGATACCATGATCCATTGGTCCAGGACTGTTGTTAAGCCAGTGGTTGATGACACCATTTTTGGTGCGGCTAGAGACGAGAAGTGGGAACAAAGGCTGACTGTAGCTTTGAGCTGTGGTACTTTGTGGTGGTGGAGGTTAAGGAATGAAGTTGAGTCTCTGGTTTTTGTGGCAGAGGCAAAGATAGAGCTGCTGATGGATTTAGCAGTGGCTGACATGGTTGGTTGGTGGCTGTATTACCTGACGGTAACAATTGGAATGGTAAGACTTGTGAAGGGTCTTATCTGGGTTGGGGTGATCTTGCTTTGTAAGAGAGTAAGAAGGAATTCTGCTGAAACTTCTGAGCTGGATGAATTAGACAAGGTCTGAAATCGACCTTCTCTATCCTCTTTTTCTTTTTTAATAGTATGTTCTTATTTTTCATTCTGCAGGGCAATTGCTCTGTAATATAATATTTTGCATTCCTTTATTCAGGGGCGTTAAAGAAAATAAAATTAAAAGTAGTTAAATTTTTAATTATTTTATTATTTAAATTAAAAATATAAAATTTATTAAAGATGAAGTTAAAAAAATATTTTTATAGATGCTGGGTCTGTTAGCCTCCATCTCTATTCCTCTTTTTATTATTTGACTGTGGTTATTTTTTAAATAATTTTTTTATATTTTAATAATATTGTAAAAAAATTATTTTTTATATTAATATATTAAAATAATTTTAAAATATATTAATTGAAAGTAAATAAAAAATAAAAAATTGTAGGATGTGATGTTACCAAAAATTGTTAAGTAAATAAAAAATATAAAAATAAACCATTCTAGTGAGTAGGTGTGATGTTGTACCAAAAATTGTAGGATTATTCATTTTTAGGTGTAAATTTATATTCCCGCTGGGAGGAAAATAAAGCTCTAAAATTAGTCAAAACATCTGGAATTCTCTTATTTGTCAATCGTTCCAACCATGTCAACAGGATACGCTTGGCCTGTGAATTTTTTGACATGTGCTTGCCACTTCGCTGATGGGTGAAGATAGCTGTGATAGAAAGCTACGTATATAGACCCACCTAACTGGTCACTTTTTTTAATTCTATTAGAAAAAAGGTCGCCTGCCTTAAGAAGCTTTTATTTCCATTCTCCGTTTAAGGACTCCATTTTCATACCACAATTATCAAAAGCTATTAAAATATTAAAAACACTTCAAAATATCATCCTGGTTTTACCTGTGGTCTTCATAATTGTGTAGTTGTTGTCACAAAATAAAAATTACTAGTAATTGTCATGCATTTCACTGTGGATAAAATCAATTTTTTCAATATAAAAAAATATTTTAGCGTTGCCAACTTGTTTTTTAATAAAAAAACTTAATCATCAACTCAAAATATAATATATATTAAATAATATTTTTTTATTGATACAGTGACATTTTAAATGTTATATTTTAAAAATATTGGGATAACAACATATTAAATCAACTCAGATTAATCTAGTAAATATATAACTCAAGTCATGAGACTGTGATAATTTTATAAAAAATAAATTAAAATTAATTATAAAAATTAATTTTTAATCAATCAAATATTAAATGATAAAATTTAAAAAAAACTACTAAAAAAACAAAAACTATCTGAGTTAACTTATGTTAATCTACCAAACTTATAATCTAAATTATAAAATTAGAATAACTTCATATATAAAAAAATTATGAAGTCTACTATCCAACAATTCAATACTAAATGATGAAATTAAAAAAAATTAATTTAAAAAAATAACAAAAAAATAATCATGATCAACTGAAGTTAACTTGTTAAACTCACGATTTGAATAATAAAATTAAAATAATTTAATAAAAAACAATATAAAATTCATCTTCTAACAAATCTACCATTAAAGATCTAAATCAAGAGAAAAAAAACTAAATTCATGATATTAGAATAACTTTATAGAAAACAAATTAAGAAAAATCAAGAAATCTAATTTCTAAACTTAATATTAAAAAATAAAATAAACTTAAAAAATAAACTATAAAAAAATAAAATTGAGTTATTGGGAAGTGGTATTAAAAAGTATAATCAATTAAAAAAGAGCCCTAAAAAATGAACCAAGTTAACCCAATCAACCTATCAAACTCATAACTAATAATATAAAATTATAATAACATTATAAAATATATAAAAAAATTATAAAGTTTAATTTAAAAATATTTAATTGAAAAAGATATTAATAAATACACATAATCAATCTAGATCAACTTGTTTAATATGTGATTTAAATTATAAGGTTAGGATAATTATATATAAACAATAAAAAATAAAATTAAAAATTGATTTCTAACTAACTCTTGTAAAAAGATAAATTTTAAAAGAAATAAAAACATTAATAAAAAAAATAATCTAAATTTATTTAAATTAACCTATTAAAATTCTATTAAACTTGTAAAGCAACACCTTTCAAGCGAAGAGCACCGGCTTCTCTTCCTCGTCTGCACCTTCAATCTGGCGCCTTCCAGTAGACAGTGGAGGGTTCTTCTCAAGGTATTCTCGTTGCTTTACTACTGGATATTTTATTCATGAATAAAGAATTTCCCTGGAACCGGTCTAAAAAGATAAGGAGAGATGGAATGAAAAGAGAAGGAACGGTCCCTTTTGCTGTTCTCGACCAGATTCATTTCAAAATGTCATAAAAGCTCCCAGCCCCGGTAAATCAACCCATTCAGAATCATATGGTCCCCTCGACCTTGTCGATAAAGTTCGGTTATTAAATAGAAATATCGAACGTCGATCTATTTGCTCGTATGCGAGTTCTCCAGAACCGGTTGATCGAATGCTTACCGAGATAATTTAATAAAAACACTTAAAAAATCATAAAATTTTATTTTTAATATAACTAATATTAAAAATTATTTAAAAAAAACATAAAGTTAAAATAATTTCATATACAAAAATTAAAAAATCTAATTCTCAGATAATTTAATATTAAAAAATAAAATTAAAAAACAAAAAAAATTAAATTTTTAAAGAATATAATTAAAAAATATTTAATTTAAAAAGAACTCTAAAACATAAATTGAATCAGCGTATCAAATCTAAAACATGAATTATAAAAT